TTGATCCGTCGAACAATCGCTTCAGAGCAGCGCCGGCTGCAGCAGCCACTCACGATTGAGGAGCTCGAGGACAGAAAACCTTACCCACTCCTTCGTCATATGAAACAACTTTCGGGAAGCCAGGCCTCGGCCATGGACACTTCGATCTTACGTCAACTTTTTCTGCAGCGGTTGCCGTCCAATGTGCGCATTCTCCACCTCGTGTCCCACTCCCGAAGAATTCAGGCACCTGCAAGAAAACGTCGCGATGCTGGTGGACCAGGTGGCTGCCATTGGACAGCATTACTGACGTGCGCGTGAACACCCCGAGCAAAGCGCCTTCCTTCACCTAGTTCATTGAGGCCACATCGGCTCTGCTGGTACCATAAAAAGTTCGGAGCCCTACCGCACCACTGCTCCCCTCCTTGCAGTTGGTCGAAGGAAAACGCCCGCAGCACTTGCTAATGGTGACCGGTCAAGTGCTCAAGCCCACAGGTCACTTCTTTTTCATCGCGGAGAAACACACCAAGGTATATTTTTTTGTTGACACGGAGCACAAGTCAGCGTGTTAGCACCTTCTCCAACAGAACAGAAGTCTAAAAAGAACACATCAAATCTTCAAGCAATCAACGGGTTCAGCTTACAACGTACGGTCAGGAGTCGCTTACACTTGATTTTGGGGTTTCGCGCATTTCCGATAGGTTTTTATTGTGGCTGATGTAGATCACACTATTTTGGGGGCCGAATTCCTGTCCTTCTTTGGAGTCTGGGTGGACCATTCGAAACTCAGGACTCTTTGACCCCACGACACGTCTCGCTGTTTCAGGAATAGTCACTGCACTACCTCGCCCAGCATTCCCACCATCTCCGAGCAACATCTACTACAAACTTCTAAACGAATTTCCTGACCTCACTCGGCCGTGCAACGTGATACGTCCTCTACAGCACGACCTTACATTCTCACAACCGGACCACCGATCTACGCTCGCGCTCGTCGTCTACCTCCAGAACGACTAAAAATCGTGAGGTAGGAGTATGACAGTATTCTGGAGCTGTCAAGTATACGGCCATCGAAAAGCTCTTGGTCCTCGTCGCAACACATGGTGCTTGAAGCCACACCCGGCGATTGGCACCCATGCGGGGATTATGGAGCATTGAAAAATGTCACAAGGGCCGATAAATATCCCACACCTCACATCAAAGATTTTTTCCAAAATCTAAATGGCACAACTATTTTCTCAAAAATCGATTTGGCCGAGGCATATCTTAAATACCTGTAGAGTTCAATGACATCCCAAAGACGGCAACAATCACACCTTACGGCTTGTATGAGTTTGTCCGAATGCCGTTTGGACTTCGAAATGCAGCTCAGACGTTTCAGCGCTTTATTGACCAAGTCACACGGGGATTAGATTTTTGATTTGCGTACTTAGACGACCTTCTAGTAGCAAGCAAGACGCAAGAACACATCGAGCATCTTCGCCTCCTTTTCACACGCTTAACAGACTATGGTCTCGTCATTAACCCTACGAAATGCTCATTCGGCGTCTCCAAATCGACAATTTTGGGGCACCACTTTGGTAGTTCCGGAGTAAAACCACTGCCTGACAAGGTTTAGGCTATTGTCCATTTCCCGAGACCAACGACCATCAAGCAGATGCAAGAATTTCTCGGCTTGATCAACTGCTTTATACGGTTCCTCCCTCAATGCTAAACAACAACTCAACCGCTTGTTGATATCTTGTCTACTAAGCACAATCCGAAACAAATTTGGACAGAGGACAGATTGCATGCATTCGAGGAAATCAAAACTGATGTATCCAATGCTACAATGCTCCACCACCCAGTGCCTAACACCCCAACACGCATCATGACTGACGCGTCCGAGGAAGGGGTCGGACCTACAGCAACAGGTTGAGCAACACTGGCAAACCCTTTCGTTTTCTCAAAAATATTACGTCCAACCGAACAGAGATACAACGCGTTTGGGCGAGAGCTCCTAGCTGATTACCTAGCCATCAAGCATTTTAGATAATTTTTTGAGGGTCGCTTTTTGAACATATTAACCGGCCACAAACCACTCACGTTCGTTTTAACATCTGGCAGAGATGGTTATTCACCCCGTGAAATTAGACAAATGGTTTTCATCGTAGAATTTACGGCAGATGTGCGACACGTGAAGGGATCCAACAACCCAGCGGCCGACGCTTTATCCCGTGTCAGTATACAGTCCGCTCAGACGAACTTCTTGCATCACATCGATTTTTGCCGCCTCGCCGAATCAGAAAAACACGATGAAGAACTTCGACTTCTTCACTCTAGAAGTACAGCCCTTAAACTCGAAGACGTCTGAATTCCCAGATGTAACGAAGTAGTGACATCTGACGTTTCCACAGGCACGCCTTGACCATTCCTCACTACCGAATTCCGTCGTCCAGTTTACGACTCACTGCATTCTCTTGCTTATCCAGGTATTCGTGCAACTCAACGATTGGTCAAATCGCGTTTTGTCTGACCGAAAATGAACACCGACGTACGCAAATGGGCGATGGTCGATTTTAACGTAAAACGTTCTTTAGGAAAAGGAGGGGGTCCTTTCCCTAAAGAGCGTTTTACGTTAAATTCATGGCAATAGATTCTGTTGAAACATGATAAGTGTAAAGGTGCAGAGGGACAAACGTTCCTCCTGCACCCCCCCCCCCCCCCCACACACACACACAAAAAAAAAAGCTTCAAAACAAATATTAGTACATTAGGCTGCAAATATTTACTGGAGCACTCTGTTTCCGTAAGAAGTACTAGTTCCGACCAAGATTATACGGCCTGCAAGTTCGTGTGCTCCTTGCTCACTGTTATGATGTCATGAGGCTCTCTGATCTTAGAAGAAGAGGACATCCAGTGGCCACGCTCCCAGGAGGTGGCACGCGCTGTTGCGTTTGGAACTGACGACCAATCGCCACAGCTGATGCTTTGATCCCGTATGCTACTTATAAAAAACAGTTTGCTTAAACCATCCTCCTGAGCTTAACTAGCAACATAAAACTCGAACGCGTCCATCAGCTTAAGTTTCCCCTTGATCTCAACCAATGACGGCGAGTGCTTGGCTGCTTCGTCATCGCGCCTTTCCTGCGTCTTCTCTATCCTGCCCTTTGATTGGCTTGCTTCTTCTTGCGTTACAATATGCCAAAAACGCATTTTGCCTGACTTAATAGCCGTATACACCTTTCCAAGAAACACTCGACCCCAGGGGCAACACACCGTTTTCGAGCTCAGTCACTGGGTTTGAGGCTAGACTCTCACCGGCGTCCCTACTATGTGGACTGGTAGGAGCAGTTTCGAACACTGCAGGCGGTTAAATTTTCGCCTTGTCCCGGTGTATTTTGTGTTTCATAGTTTATGCATTTTCCCGAGGACATTAAAAAGTATTAAAGCACATTTAAAAAAAAAAAAGGCAAAAAGAAAAAAAGTTGTGAACTATTTTTGTGTGGTACGCGCGCGACAGAGCAAATGCGACTAGAATATTAGTTGTTTCTTTTTTTACGATAAGTTTTGACGCCGCCACCCGATTAGCCGCGTGTCAAACGACAAAGCGCTTAGCTGTCGAAAATAACTTACAACACATGATAGCCGAAAGCATACAGTTTTCACGCTCACAAATAACGTGTTTACCGATGAACAGGACACGGACATACAATTTAGCAAGAGTTAATATTCGAGCAATATATTGTACGTACCACACTATGCAGTGTTGTGGGAAAATAATTTTTTTTTGAGAAAGAAATCAAATAACACAGTCACAGTCGACCAGTCCTATTTTTTCGATCGGACAGAACCCAAGTTGACTGTATTTTGACGCACGTTTTGGGGAGAGCTTTTTTTTTCACACCAGCACCAAGGCAACGAATGGGGCGCGACTGACTCCAACCCAAACAACTAACTTTGGCTATGGCTAAGAAGGACTCGACGCGGATTATCTCTGGGAGGGGAAGAACAGTTGTCATTGTTCGCAAAATCGCGTCGAGGCCCGTTCGACGCCCTTCCCCTTCTTCGTTTCCCGTGAATGTCGAGCAGAAACGCGCATTTACCAGCCCTATTTCTCACATTGGAAGATAACACAGAAAGGGTACGAAGCATGTGTCATAAAAATTAAGTGGAAACCTTCAAGAGGGGCCAAAAAACGCTGAATGCAAAAACGCAGATCATAGGTAGAAAATTGTGCTGAGCGGGTTTCCACAGCCCGAGAGAGTGGCAGAAGATTTCTATGTAAAAGGGGGCGCCAGCGTCGCACCAGCTACATCAGCATCAGAGCAACATGGCGGCGGCCTAGGAGCGCCTTTTAGAAAGGTGCGCACACAAAGATACCGATAATTCTGCCGCTTTCGTTTTGGAAGCAAACTCATACATCTACGGTGAGTGTTTCATTTCTCTTATTCAGACTAGCCGTTGTAGTTGGGCGAGTCGGTGCATGATGAGAGTACATAAAATAGCGCAAAAGGAGCATAGGGTCAATAAAACAGCGTTATGTTTGTGTGTCTAATTAATCTGTCCCTGAGGCTTTCCTTGTGCTCTTTCGTTCATTTTTGTCAATCTAGGCTATTGAGTACAGACTGATATGACCGTAGGGTAGAAGTACATACATGCGGGCCCGCGGGCCCGTGACTTAATTGAAGTTCCACCTGCTCGTCGGGGCGTTAGTTGCAACGCAGCTGCTCTGTACTTTTTTTACTTTTTAGGACGTTTTTGGAAATCACCGCATTGTGTCGTTCGCGTGTTTCAGTCGGAGGCGGCATTTAAATCAACACAACATGAAAATCACATTGTTCAATGACTAATCGCGCGCACCCAGTCTCCTCCTCCATTCTTTCTCGACCCAATCATTGACTGCGCATTCATGGGGGTGATTGGATCATTATAATTGGGTAAAAAAATAAGAAGGGAAAGAGAAACTGGGTGCTTCTGATTGGTCCCCTCAATTCGATGCTCCACGGCTATGCCTACTAAAAAGCAGCCGGAGAAGAGCCAGTCTTGCGGAGCATTTGTTGGCACGTTCAGAACAGACCGAGTTCGGTACTTTTACTGGCTGCGGTGTAGTTCAAATTGCAGCGTAAATTTCGAAACAGTAATCAGGAGAAAAAAAACAAGTTTTTGGTGAACGACTCATTTTCCTCCGAGGAAACGCCGATTTCAGCAGAAGCACAGGTCCTGCTCGGAAATGGCACCCGTACTTGGATACTTCGGTACGAGGGGAAAAGCCCAAATGATACGGAACCTGCTGGTCTATAAAAACATCGACTTCGAGGACAGGCGACTGCCGTTCGGCGGGCCTCCAGACTACGCCTGCACCCAGTGGCAAGCAGAGAAGTTCTCTCACGGCCTAACGTTTCCCAACTTGCCGTACTACATTGACGGAGACTTCAAGCTGACGCAGAGCCTTGCCATACTGCGCTACCTCGGCAGGAAGCACGACCTCGCTGGCAGGTAACGTTATTCAACAGTTTTTTATTGTTTGTTCTTATTTTCAGTGACCCACCAACAGCTTGACGCCTCCTTAGTGGTGCACTTATTCCTTCAGAAATACAACGCTAAACAGGATAAAAGCGAAACGTTAGGAAAGAACAATAGCCTCAACACACTGTCGAAATTTACGCTTTTCATCAAATATATCAAGGCTAGCATTCGCACAAATCTGTTCTAGATGGTTATAAGTCAATTGTAGGCGTGTTATGGGTGCAGCATGATAAAAGTCGATAGGATAAAACAAAGTATAAAGTCTACAAGACTGACGAGGAACGTGCAAATAGATGTGGCTGAGTAGCTCTGGGGAGTTAATTATACCATTTACAATCTTATACAAGTATGTCAGTTCACGAATTGTTCTCCTGTTGTGCAACGAGTCTAACTTCACGAGTTCACAAATCCTCTCATAACTATAGAAATAATTCGGTTGAAAATAACGATCAAACAAAACACGAACAAACCTACGTTGAACACTCTCAATTAAACCTGAATTTGTCACTCCAATACAGTTCCAGACAACTGAGGCATATTCAACACGACTACGCACCAGTGAAGAAAACAAACGTAAAATACGAAGTGGTTTAGAAAACTCGCGTGTCACTCGTGTAATGGCTCCCAGCACTCGAAAGGAAGCATTCGTAATTGTGGTCACGTGATGGTTGAAATTAATTGCAGGATCCATAAAACGCCTAGATCACGAATGTCCTCAACGCGAGCAATATTGGTGCAATCTAATACATAGGGAAAACTCAGAATTTCACGCTTCCTAGAAAAGGACATAACTTTCGTCTTTGACTCATTTAAGAGTAGGTCATTTGAAAAACACCACGCCGAAATAGAATCTATATCGCGCTGAAGACATTTACAATCGTCAACCGTTTTAACCGCTGTAAACAACTTAATATCATCATCAAATAACAAAAACCGCGTGTGTTTGATGCAGGAAGTTAGATCATTTACAAGAACCAAAAACAGCAGAGGACCGAGCTTACTGCCTTGAGGAGCCCCAGAAGTAGATAAAAAAGGAGCAGATAATCGGCCGGATACTCGCACAAAGTTCAGCCGATGAGATAAGTAACTATCGAGGAGACGACAGTACTTAAGGGACAGACCGTAACTACAGAGTTTACTCAACAGTAATCGGTGATTAACTTTGTCAAAAGCTTTGCTCATATCAAAGTAGACTACATCCGCTTGTCCTCCGCTATGGACAGATGGTACAATCTGATGTAGGAAGGAACACAGGTTTGTTTCTGTGGAGCGGCTTTTCATGAAACCATGTTGCTCAGGAATAATTTTCCGACAAAAATATGCGTAAAGGCGGGTGTGCAAAACAATTTCATAAACTTTAGGAAAACTACAAAGGAGGGAGACTGGCCTATAGTTGTTAACCATGGATCGATCACCCGATTTATGTAATGGAACAACAACAGAGCGCTTCCAAGCGGTAGGAAATGTTTCAGATGCAAGTGATAAGTTAAAGATATGAACCAAAACTGGACAACCTTTTACTATGAAGCTGGGAATTCCATCTATTCCCGTAGATAACTTTGGTTTCAATTTTTTGATTGCCTCCAAGACTTCAGATTCATCAATTGGAGCAACAGTAAAAAAATCCAGGCAGTTTATATTCGAGTTTGTATTTGAAAGTAAAAGTCAGACGGTCCTGCCAATTTGTCAATCCTGAATAGTTGTCACATCGAGCGTATCTGACATGAGATGAAGACCCTATTTACACTCCGTCGGTCAACACTGGAGATGTCAATAGCAATATTGTCTAGCTAGTACGCGAAAACAAAAAGAACAGCGTAACCTTAGCTTACACATGTTGCGGTGCGCAATGCTTTTTTTGCTGCTTTAGATATATTAGAATCATTAGGCTACCAACCGAAATAAAGAGGAGTGGTTAATATATACCCGATGTTCAGACATCAAAACGCCTAAAAAGAGAAAGGCTTCTAGTTTTAGAGAGAGTGCAAGATGTTGCTGCGAAGGCGCGAAGTCACTTTGACGGTGGAGGACATGAGTCTAAAATGTAACAAATAGATGGTCAAACTTGCTCCCTTATCCATGGCTTTAGCAGGACTTTAAATCAAAATGCCTCCCGATGCAACGAGGAAACTAGATTGAAGTTTCAACGTTTACAAATTTCTCACATTTAAAATGTTGCGCAGGCTACACGAAAATGGGCCTGAATATCGTGCGCATACACAAGCTTTGTTCCACCTCTAGAGTTGCGGAGGATGCACTTTTTGCTGGCGCGCAGCGAGTGCTTGTAGAAATAATTTTTTTTTTCAGGATAGCGCTATTACAGATAGAGGAAAGTGCCATACATTATTGTGATGACAACTATAACGGTTCAATGTGATCTAGAGGCGATTGCCCTATTCGGGAGCATCGTGAATCTGTGGCGTCACTGGAGTCTATAGGATATTTACAAATAAGCGGTGGCGCACCCTCTTGGTGTAAAAACTTGTTGTTTGCCAATAAAAGTAACTGATGGCGTAGACTAAAAGGGGTGCAAGCTGACTGCCAGCTCACATTCAACGGAAGAGAGACAGAGCCGTGGCGAATTATAGTGAAGACTTCGTCGCATCTTCCCCGCGCTCTTAGCGTTTGGTGCACACTGTTATCGTTATTCGAAATCACTTAGCATAAGTCGTACACTTTATGAATGCCAAACATAAGAAATAAGTACCTGAATATTGCTACTCCTTTTCTTTTGCCGTCAATAGGAATGAGGATGAGGTCACTCAACTGGACTTCTTGGAGCAGCAGGTGTTGGACCTCCTCTCAGAAATGACCAAAGCCACCTTGTCCTCGGACGTGGAAGTAGCCAGAAAGATTCACGAAACACTCATCGGCAAGGAGCTTAAACCCTGGGACGATTTTCTCCGCGGGCGAGCCTGGGCCCTGGGCGACAGACTTACCTACGTGGACTTTATGCTCTACGAAGCCCTGGACTGGATTCGCGATACAAAGCCAGACGAATTCAAGCGTTTCCCAACCCTGGTCAAGTTTCTTGACAAGTTTGAGGAGTTGCCCAACATAAAGCAGTATATGGCGTCGGACAAGTACAAGAAGCGTCCTTTTCTGCGCAGGAAGTGAAAACAGGGTTTCTAGAAAGCGTCAATCCACCACTGCTGGAATATTTGCATGGAGTTCTTTTGCATATAGAGAGAAGTAGCGAGGTTAAAACTAAAAGTTTTTTTTTACAATTTTCTGGAAAATAGAATACACTTTTGTATTTAAGTAAAATAAAAAAAAGGTTTTTGTGCGCTCGTGTATCCCTGACATAATAAAATATATTAATATATTTTTGTAACGTCAACCATACCTTCACGTGCCTTTGAATTATACTCTGTTGTAGGTTATGAAATGCAGGAGAAGCTTCTCCCGAGAAGCCCTCCAGTCTATCCACTCTAGCAGAGTGAACGCAAGAGAAAAAGAGAGAAAGGAGGCGAGTTTGCTTGCCTCCTCTTCAGCGTTCCCTCTGCTAGAGTGGAAAGAGTAGAGGGCTTTCTGGAAGAAGCTTATCCTACTTTTCTTAATTTTGAGCGTAGCCGACCTGCCTCTCTGCTGCAAGAACAAGATGTGCTGTTCTATCAGCACGAACTTTACAAGTGTAAAGATTACCCGCACATATGCATGAAAGGAAGTAAAGTGTTTGTGTGCAGACCAAACACGCAGATGGGAAAGCACCCGTTCATTGTACCATATGGTGTCACGAAACTGCCGAAAGAAGCGCCTGGATTGGAAGAAAGCGTGGTGAGCTTTCGCGGTGATTGGGGAGGGGATGACATTTATTTAGAGGTTATGGAAGTGTGCCTCTGAATAATAAATAATAAAAAAAGAAAGCGTCCCTCTTTATTGTCGTAAGATTTTCTTTTCATTCCACGAATGTCCGGCTTGATTACGTAAAATGTATACTAAAACGTAAAGTTAAACAGCGTAAAATTTTGTTCGGGTTCGAAAAAAACTACGTCGAAATCCAAGCTGGATACCACAGTGAGTACTCGTTTGTTGGTTTTGAAAATTATCTCGTAAATTTGTATATAGTATTGTAGATAAATTGTAAAGTCATATGATGTCGCATCATGTCATACGATGTGACGTCATGGAATGTCGCATCACGTGCAGGATGGTAAACGCTTACTGCTAAATGTAGCGGAGAAATTCACCCGCTAAATTCAGCGGGAAAATCGTGACGTCGCGAGATATCTTGGCATCACCTGACACTCAATTCACGATAAATTTAGCGACAAACTACTTGGTTATTTCTAGCGGGTATTTGATGTCACGTGACGTCATCGTGTCGTCATTGTGTCACGTGACGTTATCGCTGACGTCATGGCGTCAATTAAAACAGAGCAGTGTCACTGCGTGCAAGATTCCGATCTATTGAACTCGTTCCATACTACATCGTGCAGCTTAGCCGCCTTACATATTGTAGATCTAGATAACACGTTGGAACCAATCACTGCTTCTCTTTAGGATGCATCAGTTGGTAGAAGGCAGTTTGGTTACATTCCAAGCTACTTCTGGCATTGATTGTTCAAGTTTCATGGAATTGTTTGAACTTTATCTGAAATGAACTGTGGTGGAGGTTGATAGCGCGGTGTTCGCACAAAAACAAGGTGTATGCGTTGGATCCTCTTTGGCACCGTTAGTTTCTGAAAATGTTTTGGCTGCTTTAGATCGAGTTGTAGATTTAAAAATACGGTCCTTGTTGCCCAATTCTGTTAACGTTATGGAGATGATTTTTTATTCTGTTATTTCAAGGATTTGATTAGGTCGGCTGGGTATCCTTTATAATGGAGCAAACCACGGAGCTTGCCTTGACCAGTGAAATATACTCAGCTGGGTATCTTCAGTTTCTAGATTTAAAGGTTTTTGAAACCAACGAACTGTGTTGGAGTTATGGGAAAGTTGCGCCCAAACCTGTGCTGCCCTTCCACAGTTGCCACGCGAAAGCATTCAAAAGAAGGGTAGTATGTTCTCTCCTCAAAAGTTACCTGCTCCCACTGTATACGTTCGCGGATGTCGAAGTTGGGTGCCTCAGGGTATAATTTAAGCATTCGATTAAGCGCGCCTCAACATGTTCTGGTTGGTTTATGCAAAACCATAGAGCCTAGGAAGATGCCTGATAAGTGCGTATGAGTGCCCTTCTTTCATGGTGTCTCACACAGCCTGAAGTCATTGGCAGAAAGTCATGGCGTACGAGTTGCTTTTTAAAAAAAGATTTCAAATTAAGCAAGCTAAATTCTTTTTCAGACAGTAAGCAATGTTGCCAAGAAACACATAATGATACGGTAACCACATGTAAGATGGCAGTGGTCTACGCAATACAAGAGCCACTAAATGAGCTGCGCTAAGAGTATCGGCACTCTGTTTCCCGACATTGTTCTGAGCGCCGCCATTTTGGTGCTTGTGCAGAACAGACGCTATTGCCGATTGTCATAATTCATAATTGAGACATCCTCAGCATTAGGTTCGGTGTTAAGAAGCTTATGTAATATTACTTTGCTCTGTCGCAAACTCAATGGTTTCCCCAGGAATTTAAATTAAGGGGGTCTACATTTCTGGGGGGGGGGGGGGGGGCGGGGGGGGTTAGTTGGGGGGGGGGGGGGAGTGGCATTGATAGTAGAGGAGTCGTTGCGAATTAAGGGGGTGCCTTCAGAAAAACAAGGGTGAGGGGTAGTAACCCCCCCCCCCCCCTTTCTTAGGCTGTGTGTAGGGAAATCACTGCGCGAACTGGTTAAACATTTGTGGAGGACCGAAAAGCGTTTTTTGTGACATCAGATAAAGCTTCAGATAACTGGCAGCCATGATTTTAAGCCACAATATGTGGAAGTCTCGTTGCTCTGGAGCGTAGCTTATTTAGTGACACTACGTGATACCATTGGTATATGGGTTCTCGTACGGGGGTCAAACTGGTCGCTGCCTGAACGACCGGATATTGGAGCACAAAAGAGCGGTTTGCAGTTGTCACAGATCACTATTAACGCTTTCTTTGCTTCACTCAACGAATGCGAAAAACCGTACTGCGTTTTGAAACAAATAGATGATAAAATAAAGTAGCACTTTCTAAAAAAGGGCTTCCCGCAGGTTCCATTTTCAGCTTTTGTGCGTATGTCACGTGATTTGTTCGCTTCGAGAAGCAACGAGAATCCGCATGCTGGGCTTTGGAGAGATCGCACGCTGGGTTGTGGATTTGTAAACATTGGAATGGTGTATCGACTTTCAATCCCCACCCCTGCCCGTTTCGATCTGGATGAGCATCGTTCCGGCGTGCGCTCGTGTACCACTACTGCGTGATGCACGTTAAAGACCCCAGGCTAGCGGTTGTACCGCACTGGCTAAATTGCTCATCTACAGCTGGGAGACTCGTCGCCCGTTGAGGCATGCAGACCAAGTTCTAGACTGTATAAACATACACACAACCCCCCCCCCCCCCCCCCAATTGTATCGACTGAGCTTTCACGTTGCTAATATATGTTACAGTAAAAGCTATTTGCAAACAGAAGATGATTCAGCAAATGACCGGGATGTCAAGCGGGTGATACAGGCCAGCGATGCCGAGTCAGCACTGAGAGCCTAAAGACCATAAATAAAATTCATGCTCGACGTATCTTATTAGAACCGAAAACCCCTGTTGTGCAAACGTTCGAGACACGCGCCACGAGCGAGTTCTGTTCCGCAATTTGCTTCCAAGGACCTCACGAGGCACACACAATGTTCGTTGGTGCATTTGACGCTGCTTGCAAGACAAAGACAACCACATCAAGGTATCGTGTCCGTCAGCAAACAAAGGACGACAGAAAACTCCGGACAGCTACCGCCTTCTATGAGTGACGGCGGCAACCAGACAACCGACAAACCGGTTGTCTGGTTGCCGCCGTCGTTTATAGATAGCACAACCTTTTCAGCCCTACCATAGGGAGGCTGTATAGTTTCTTTCCTCTCTGGCGTGCCGACTTGCGGCTGGCCATTACTTTATTCCCACCATAGTACAGCTTCGCTGGTTTTCCTTCTTCACTATAGTGGAAAGGCAGAAATTTGTTTTTTACTTCAAGCATGTGACTTTTCGTTTTGGCCTTGGAGCTCGCGAAGCGCGAGGTTACGTGGCTTGTTCTTATCGCTAAATTGGCTGGCATAGCTCATGGCATCGGCCACGGTCGCGGCGGTGAGTCATTGCACGTTTCCATGGCATCACTACGTTATACATCCGTTGCCTCTCATTGGTTTCATTTTGTAGCGTGAGCTACACTGGCCGAGGTTGGGCAGTTTCGCGTGGCTCCTGAAGAGCCGTGCTGCGCATGCGCGAGGAGCACTGACGTCACACGGCGCACAGCTGGCGCGCCGGAGCCGCCGCCACCGCGCGCGCATCGCCGGTCTGGGCATTCCAGAGGAGTGACGTCATAGACGCGGCAGACGCACTGGCGCCGCCGCGTGCCCAGCTGTGCGCCTCCGTTGCGAGTAGCTAAGTCTCACGCTGCACTGAAACCGCTTGATAGCGCCTCTAATTTTTTTTCTTTGCGGCGCAGTCGGCCGAAATCGTACATAGACCATTGTCTGGACAGTCTAAACAAGGCTTGTGCCCGGTACTAAAAAAATGTAATAGGATTACAATCCCAAATCACCGGGCCTCAAATGTAATGCATTACCGTTTCGAATTACTTTCGCTGAAAAGTAACGAATTACTTTACTCGTTACGTTACAAATGACTTTCACGTTATTTCTTACGTACACTTACCAAGAAAACAAAAGAAACTATTTTGATATTTTGAAGAAATCTTCTGCAACACTACTTTCCATTTCTCATATGCCCGCATTATGGTAGTCCTTGTAAAAATAAAATGTTGTATTTAAGAGAAAGAATGTAGGTGAACACCGTTCGCCTCTGAAGCCGGTGTCACACTGCTTATACATCATACAACAGACAGCCTGCATACATATTCGAACGCCAGTCATATCGAGATCGGTGCTTTAAATGCTGCATGGCAATGAGTTCACGGAGAAACTTGGCACGCGGCATTCGAACAACGGAGTCTGCGGCGACTCGTGTTTCCATGCTGTCTTTTGTATGATATATGAGCAGTGTTACTCCGGCTTAAAAACCGACGACCTGTTCGCGCTTTCCACTTTCCCCACGATACACTCTCTTTTCCTTCTACCCTGTCCACCGTTGCCTCTTTCCTCATCCCCCACGGTGAGAAGGATCTTCTGCCTTGCAGAATCTTGAGTCTGGTCGTCGGCTTTTAAGCTGACAAGGCC